AACTGATTTCCTTCCATTATACTACCTTTTATATACTATTCTATTGATAATTTCCCATTGGCTCTTTTTACACATTTTTTCTTTGTGGCATTCCTGTGCTAACATATTGGACCACCAGGCTTGATTTCATTTTCTTAACATTCACTCCCATTTTCAAGGTTTTTTTTTTTTGGGGGGGGGCGGTTGTGGGGCCTGAACTCTGGGCCTGGGCGCTGTCCCTCAGCTCTTCAGCTCAAGGCTAGCACTCTACCACTTGAGCCACAGTGCCACTTCCGGCTTTTTTCTTTTTGCTTATGTGGTGCTGAGGAATCGAACCCCGGGTCTCATGCATGCAAGGCAAGCGCTCTACCACTGAGCCCATTCCCAGCTCCTATTTTCAAGGTTTTTATCTTTCCAAACTCCCAAACACCCACATACATCAAGAAAGTTTCTTTGATTCTTCCAACCCAACTACTAAATTAATTTTATTTTTACTTCTAGAATTCTTACTCTTGTTTCAAAGATGCAATATCTTCTTTCAGTTCTCCAAAGCTAGTAAATAAGCATCACTCCTTCTATCATTGTTCTTCATCCTCCCTCCCCCTTTCTCAAAGCAATTTCAACTGATTTACTGTTTTCTTTGTATACATGCATATAAAGAATTTTGACTGTCTTCATTCACCCTTCCCCTCAGATACTGTTTAATTATCTGATCTTTTTTTTTTTGGTGTATATTAACTATACCAAAGGGTTTTATCACAGTATTTCACACTTGAATTACATTATAAAGTTCTCATATGGTCTCTGAATTATGTTTTCTCTTTTCCTCTAATCCCTTCCCATACACATAAACACAGGCTTTGTGTTTTCTTCATTTGCATTTTTAGAGCTTCTCAACAAAAGTGATCAAAGTTCCCATATGCCTCCTGCTCTTCAACATCATTAGGATCTTATATTAGAATAGACATTTGTCAGAACCAAAGAATCTACTCTGCTATGTCAGCATAACACAAAGTTTATCATTTACCGCACAGTACTTTTTTGGTACTGCACATTCTGTGAGCCTTGACCAATGTGAACTTCTGTTATAATATACAGTCACTGCTTTGTCCTGAAAATATTCTGTGCTCTGCTATCCATTCATGCTTCCCTCCTAACCCCTGGGATCTGCTGTGCTTTTTACTGCCTCCAGTTTCACTTTTTCAAGGATATTATACCATTAGAACCATATAGTCTTTAGGGGCCATTTTCTGCATTAATTCTATATATTTAAAGTGTTCAACGTCTTAATATATATACATAATGAAAGTATTATGGCAAGGAAGGAAATTCACATATCCATCCTCTCACAGATACTTTCATTTCCTTTCTCTCTCACAGCAAATTTCCAGTAAACAGAATTGACTGTAGTCATTATGCTGTTTATTAAATCTGCATATTTGTTTATCACATATAACTTTGTATCTTTTTTTTTTTTTTTTGCCAGTCATGGCTCTTCAGCTCAAGGCTAGCGCTCTACCACTTGAGCTGACTTTTTCTGCTTCTGTGGTGCTGAGGAATCGAACCCAGGGCCTCGTGCATGCAAGGCAAGCCACCTTCCCAGCCCCATAACTTTGTATCTTTTGATCAAAGACTTCTCATCCCTTTCTCATTCCTCCATGTCCCTGTAAACACTGATTTATTGTTTTTATACTCTAAGATCCCACATGTGAATAAGAGCAGAATCTTGGTGTCAGTATTCTCAAAACTCAGAACCCCTATTAGCTAAGACATTCCTTCAGTTTGTAGACTTTCATTTGTTTTCAGTATGATGACCTTGCCCTAACTATATCTATAAATCTAGAGTCTTTCTGATTTACCTTGTACAGCTTCCACGTTTCTATACTGGTGGCGAAATAGTAGGACACTGTATATGAATGTAGACTCAAGTCATAAGGCATAAGGTTGTTGTCACATTCAAACATCAGCTCTAACTAACCAACTAGTTGTTCAACCTTAAAATAACCTCATAGTACCTCAGTTCCCTAATCTCTAATATTCATATAACAATACCTACCTGAAATAATTTTTATAAGACTAGCTCCTGTGTGCAAACCTCTATACGAAGTAAAAAATATTATCTTTAAAGAAGCTTAGGTTTCCTTAGGACAAAAAGTTAAGGGAATATTTAGGCCATGTTAAGGGAATTAAGGACATGGACATCTTGAGGGTTGATTGTCAGCCCTAGAGAATATAGTACAAAGATTTTAGGAGTCAGATAGTGGAAGAGGTGACAGTCATAAGAGATGAGTCTGGCAATGAAGGATTAGATTCTTAAAATAACTAACAAAATGAAGATAAATATTATTATTTTTTCTTTTTTTGTCGATCAAAGGGCCTGAAGTCTGGGTCTGGGTGCTGTCCCTCAGCTCTTCAGCTCAAGGCTAGAGCCCTACCACTTGAGCCACAGTGCCACTTCTGGCTCTTTTCTGCTTATGTGATGCTGAGGAATTGAACCCAGAGCCTCATGAATGAGAGGAAAGCACTCTACCATTGAGCCAACTTCCCAGCCCTAAATATTGTTTATTAATGCAAATGGCCTTGAGGCATACATGGGAATAAGGGTTTGGGAAAGAACATGCAGAGTTCTAGAAGTCATTCCCTCTGCTGATGATAATGTGCAGTCTGGAAGAAGGTATCTATGGCTTTAATCTTAGAGCATGACATGCTCCCACAGAATAGCACTGAGCTGAGCCAGCTGTCCTGAGACTGAAGTACCACCTCTGGTAATCCTTAGAGATTTTGTCCTGGTGAACATTATAATAGAGCTGGTCATTTTACAAGGACTTGCCATTTTATGCACATTATTATTTTAGTCTCATAACAATACCAGGAGAAAAAAGTTCTCATGGCCATTTTAAAGAGAGCAAACTAAGGCTAGAGAGAACAGCTACCTTGTATAACACCTCAGCTCTCAAGGAAAGTACTAGTAGGCCTTAATCCTGCATAAAATCTAATATAGGAGAACTTCATGTGAAGAAATTTCTTTACATTCTCTGCACTTTATAGCTCCAAAGAAAGAAGAAATTACTTTATAAAGACTTGTAATAACTATTTCTCTGACCAATGAATATAAACTGAAAAGTGTACTCTTTTATGATAGCTACATGTTATTTGTACTCTAGTCTCCTACAAACAAAAAAAAATTAAAGGCCTACCTCCAAAGAGAACTCAATCAGCAGAAGACAGGTACATCAGTATGCATGAAGAAGTTAGTTCCTGGGCCCAAGCAAGCTACAAAAACCAAAGAAAAGGAAAAAAGAAGGAGAAACAAATGTTTTCACCGTATATGCCCCAGACTTACAGAAAAGAACAACAGACTGTTCAGGATCTGAAGGAAGGAGATTAGCATTATTTAGAAATTTTTACAAATTGAATACAATTCCTATACGATGGAAATTAGTAACCATTCTGTCGGTGAAGATATAATTGCCATATTGGTTTCTAAATTAATCTTTAACAGAATTAAAGTCTTAATTTTTAATTGAACTTGTTAAAAGAACCTACTGTAATGTTGGGAAAGCTATCTTAAGTTTTTTTTTTTCATACAAACAAACAAAACTTCAAAATTAACATTCCAGTCAGGTTTCAGCAAGATTTATAAGTACCATTACCTGCAGCTATTAGTCCTGAGTTCAGGAAGCTATTGTGAGTAACTTTACATTGTTCCTTTAGCATTTTCAGGTTCAAGACATTCACCAAGAACAACAGCAGGCATTTGTAGTATGGATGGCAGAATATGAGTAAGGTACAGCTATGAACAATGCGACCTATATTGGTTCTGTGTAAGAATTATCTGGACCACTTATTAAATAATGTTCATAAACAAGATAACAGGTGTTAGGAAAACCAATGAGAACAGTTGTTTTTTCTAAATCAGTTTTCAAAAATTAGGTCAAGGCTTATCTGCAATTTCATTCCAGAATAATGTGAATTATTATTTTTTGTTTGTCTTGGGCAGTACTGGGGTATGAACTCAGAGCCTAGCACTTGCCAGGCAGGTGCTTTACCATACAAGCCAATCTCCCAGCCCCAAAATCGTATTTTTAAGAAAATCTATTTTGTCTATTTATTTTGCTTCTAAAAGTCTGAAAGCCACTAGACCAAATACAGCAACTCATCCACTTAGGAATTAAACGCATGATTTGGCATCAAAATAGGCCTAACTCAAAAATAAGAGAGATTAGAAAAATAAAAAGAGCCAGAGTCGATAGAATATTGGGTAATGCCAAAAGGAAAACCCTGTGTTTTTGTTATTCATATAATCTTATTTATTGCAACTTAAAAGAACTTAACTCATAGTAAAGTTCCAAGTGGAAAAAGTATACACAGATATATTGAATTAATTGAACTAAGGAAAACCTACCATATTCTAGACTTGTAAGTAAAAGTACAGCTTTATGGTCTTACTTTCTGCAGTTTTAGCCTCTGTCTCACAGACTAATATGCATAGTATAGGCAGTAACTCTCAGAGGTGGTCTCCTTAAAGAAATGATTACTTAGGAGAAATACAATCAGAAGCAATGTCTGTTAACTGGTTCCTCAGAAACATAAAGTTTAGATCCTCTACACAGCTTCCGAGTGTCTCCTTAATCTATGCTAACCCATGTTATTATGCTGTGTTTTGTGAAGGAAGGCAGGTAGGAATGCCAGTTTCCACCTCCCAGCCCCTTTGGGTATTCCCTCATAAGATGGAGCCTAAATATCTTGGCCTTTTGAGATATTCTTCATTTCCACCACCTTACCAATTGATAATATTTGTATGCCTACTGAAAATTAATTTTGTGCCTGTGTACTGCTAGAGTTTTGTGTGTTTTGTGGTGCTGGGGTTTGAAATCATGGCCTCATTCACGTTAAATATACTCTATTACTGAGCAGCACAGTAGTCCTAGAAATTAGCTTTGAGATATCAAATCCTATATGCAAATACAAACTCAAGGGATTTTTTTCATCAAATAAAATAGCAAACTATTTTTACTTACATGTCTGAATACACATGCTAAGCAGGAGGTGGACTGAGTAAGAAGCCAGTAAAGCAACCATCAGCAGCAAGAAACTAAAACAAAAATGAACACATGAGCAAGGGCTGTGAGTATAGTTTATGTGGTAAAGGGCCTGCCCTACCAAGTGCAAGCCTTGAGTTCAAACTCCAGTGCTGCCAACAAAAGAAACATTTGGTCAAATCCTCTCTAAAGTTTCTTTCTCTTGTGGCATATTATCATAAAAACAAATTTCTTCAATAATGATCACAGGGACTAACTCTTGAGTAGAATTATGGTCATTAAGGTAATTTAAAGTCATGTTTTCTGCTTTTATGTATTTACTAAATATTATTTAAATAACAACACATAAAAAGAAATGAAGGGGGAAAACTAAGTTTGTTTAAGACACAAATTTCCTTATTTTGCATTCCTATCTGCTGACTGCTGGTTCAGCAATGAATGGTCATAACATTTCCCTTTTATGATTGATTTTTTCCAATTCTATGTCTAAACAGAAGTTTAGTCATGAAATACCACTATCCTCTTTGGGTTTTTTTTTTTCTCCCCTTCACTTCTATTCTGTTGATGTGCACCTTTTTGTGTGTGTCAGGGTCTTGAACTCAGGGCCTGGTCACTGCCCCTGAGCTCTTGCTCAAGACTAGTACTCTACCACTTTGAGCCACAGTGCCACTTGTAGATTTTTCTGAGTGTAGTACTGGAGATAAGAATCTCACAGACTATGCGCTGGGAATGTGACCTATAGTAGAATGCTTACCTAGCATGCATGAAGCCCTGTTTTCAATTCCTTAGCACCAAATAAAGAGGAAATACCGGAAGTGGTACTGTGGCTCAAGTAGTAGAGTGCTAGCCTTGAGCAAAAGAAGCCCAGGGACAGTGCTCAGGCCCTGAGTTCAAGCCCCAGGACTGGCAAATAAATAAGAATTTCACAAACTTTCTGCCCAGGCTGGCTTTGAACCTCAAACCTTTGAATCTTAGCCTCCTGAGCCACCAGTGCCCGGCTGGGCTTTTTTTTTTTTTAATCTTATCTTCACCCATCACTAATTGTATTTCCTAGCATCTACTAAACACTTTCCACACCAACCAAAACAAGGAAACTAACACACTTCTAATGACACAATCTGAAAACACTGCAATGTAATGACGGGGATCCTCTCATCTACATGATGAAAAGAAGCAACATTCATACTGCCCTACTTGCTCTCAGGAAGATACTGGCAGTACAAGCTTCTAGCTACATAGCTGCCCCCAGTAGACTGCCCAACATGAAAGAAATCTACCTTTGTATCCACTTAATACTTTTAGAGTTAGTATAGCAAGTAGCAAGCAGCTATTAAATGGACATCAGAGACCTCACACAGTAAAGGTTTAGCATCACCAAAAGAAATTTGATTTAATTCATTGGATTCACATTCAAAGGTATATAATTTCATGTAAGACCCTAGTAAATAAAATATGATCCATACATGAAACATGACATTTTTCAAAGAAAACCAGAAACTAAGTCCTCTGATTATGACTTGCCTAAAGCATTACATATTGTTGTGAATATATCCCATAATAAAATCAAGCTAGGTTACTTGAAACTTGCTTTGTTTACCCAGAAATTTTTTTTAAAACCTAAGTAAGACTCTGCATTTTAAATTTTGTAGTAAAATAAATCTGATTTTACTGACAAGAATGGACTTTGTTCATTCTCTTCAACATAGTGCTATGCTACATGCTAAGCATAAGGTCCAATTCTAAGGAATATAATTTTAATAGGGAAGTTAACTGCTAAATAAGTCATTATAACAAATTGCAATGACAATGAATATACAGAATTTACCTATGGGACCACAGAAAAACCAGGACAGTCTTTATTTTTGGACTAACTGGCCCATGAGCCAATTCTTGAAAGAAGAGCAAGAACAGGTATAGATAATAAACCTGGCCTCAAAAAGACAACTTAAGAGGAAATGAAGAATAAAAAGATTATGTGCTTTATTTGCACTAAAAAAAAATAGCTACTCATAAGGAAATAGCATGGCTGACAAATTTTTATTCATTTTTGCCAATTTGACAGACATGAATAAACTCAATAAGCCCCCTCTAAAAGTTCTAAAACAAGAAATTCTGTTTTTAAAAATTCACCACAGTGGGCCTGGGAAGATGGCTCAGTGGTAGAATGCTTGCCTTGCATGCGTGAGGCCCAGGGTTCAATTCCTCAGCACCACATAAGCAGAAAAAGCGGGAAGTGGCGCTGTGGCTCAAGTGGTAGAGTGCTAGCCTTGACTGAAGAGCTGAGGACAGTGCCCAGGCCCAGTGTTCAGGCCCCACGACAGACAAAATAAATAAATAAATAAATCACACTTTTAGATTAAATAAAACTATAATTATGCATTGCATATCAATGTTTTGGTCAACGAATTTTAAATATAACAATTCCCAACAGATCTCGTAAATTGTTATCACTGAGATAGAATAGCTGTACTAACATCATTACTCTTGTGTTGGTGATGCTGATGTAAACAAACTTACTACTGTGCTGCTAGTCGCAAGTGTATCACAATTATGTGTAGCACATATAATTGTACTAATAATAAGTTATTGGGTAGTACACATAATTGAAGTACACATAATTGACAAGGACAGTAAATGACTATTTGTGCTTTATGTACTTATTATATTTTTGTTATTATACTTATGAGAAATCTGTTAAATGTTTAGCATTCCCACACAAGTCCTTGAAGGGGTGTTCCAGAGAAATCACCGTGATCATAGTGTTTCACACATTATTGTTCCTAAAGACCTCCAATAGAACAACATGTGGAAGTGGAATACAGTATGTGATCTTTACCCTGTATGGGCCTAGGATAAAGTGCATTTGTGTCTTAGTTTTTGACAAAGCTTTAAAAGCAAAGTATGAAAATAAACTTTTAATAGAAAAAGTTTAGCAAACAAGAATATAAAGAAAATTTTATTTGTGCAATATTTTTTAAGCTAAGCATTATAACAAAAGTTTTCAAAAACTTACAACTTTACAAAGTGAAAAGGTTATATTAAGCTAGGGATAATTTATTATTGAAGAGAGAAAGCAGTTTCTTACAAATGTAGTGTATGTAGCCTCACTGTATAGTGTTAATGAAGTGTATAATGGTGCACAGTAATGTCCTTGGCCTTCCAGTTCATTCATCACTCACTGCCTCACTCAGAGCAACTTCCAATCCTGTGCATAAGCAAGCTCCATTCTGGGTAAGCGTCCAAAGACATATTATATGTTTATACCATAATTTCACTATATCTATCTTTTCTTTATGTAAATGTTTTGATATACAAATACCATTGTATTACAATTGCCTACAGTGCCAGTGCAGTAACAGTAGCCTAGGCGCAACAGGCTGACCCACACAGCCTAGCTGTTCAACAGGTTATACAGTCTAATTTTAAGTATACTATATAATATTTGCATAACAATGAACTTGCCTAAGCAAAGATTTCTCAGAACATATACTCTTTATTAAGGGATACATACCTGTATATAACCTACAAAGTAGCAAATAGCAAAACCTCAAAGCTTAATTAAAAATGCAATATAATAGCTCCTGGAACTGATAACTTTTAACTTCTCAATATATAACCAAAATGGGGGAGGAGGGGCAGCAAAATGAGGTTTAAAAAAAAAAAAAACACTCACCTAAATCCAAGGATACCAGTATTTGCCATCACATAAGCTAAGCCAAGAATGCCAGTTCCCATGATGGCATTCATCAAATTAAAGACTGAGAAGCCAAATGAAACTCCTGGGGATCCCTGTCTGCGAAGTTCCTAGAATTTAAATTTTAAATTTAAATTTAAGTGAAGAACAAATTTATCACGAAATTACTGAAAGAGTATGTCATATCTTTGCAAACCACCAGGCTTTGTGTTACACGTTAGATGCCTAACCAGAGCGGATTTTCTTCCCTTTTCTTTCTACCTCTTATTAGGGCAGATCCAGGAAGCAAGTTTTCCATAAAAATCGTATTTATCAGTACAGCTGCCCGGTAGACTTCAGGAAAAGCCCTGACCTAATCTTGTGACTTTAAGAAGTGAAGATAAACTAGGAATTGAGCGGGAAATGAGAAAAAAAAAAAAAAAAAAAGGACAGGCCTCCGTTCATGTGATTCCTGAATAATCCCTGAGTCAGCGTGTTAGTGTCCACAGCTGTTCTTCCCCAATTACAAACACCAAAAAACGAATCTTTATTTATATACTTAATGAATTTCAGTCTGCTTAACTGAAAAGATGGTCAGGAAGACCTCTCAGTGACAATAAATATAGATATAGATATATAGATATTACTCTGACAAGTTTATCTCTGAAAACCCCCCTCTCCCAAAATAGCACGTGAGGGCAAAACCATCAGCTGTTAAAATCCCAGTTATAAAGTGGAGTGCCGGGACGAGGGGGTGTCGCTCAGTGGTAGAGCCCTGCCTTAGCAGTGCGAAGCCCTGAAAGCCTGGAGCTCTGTCTCCAGCATGGGTTGGGGGGGGGGCGGGGCAGGGGGAAGCGAAGGGGCCCCAGCCAGGGCTTCGGCTCCGGGGTGTACTTGGTGCTCATTACCTCTTACCTCTAGGGATCTCGGTACTAAGATGTAAATAACCCACCTCCCGTTACTAAGTCGAGAAAAGAAACATCTTGCAAAGACCGTTCACGACGTGTGAAGGGAAGTGGAAGGTGACCACGCTACTAGGGAAGTGTTGAGTCAGTAAACCCTGGAGGGGCTGCGCCGTCGAGGGTCCCGCGGGCGCCTCCCCCGCCGGGGACGGGGGCTGCTGTCACGGTCCCAATGAGGCGGGCCGCCCCGGTGGGCCGGCGGCGGGCTTGGGGCCCCACAGGCTCGGGTTTCTCCCCCGTCCCCGTGCCGGGCTCCTGCGGCCCCGGGCTCCTTCCGCAGGCCCCGGAGTGGGAGCTGGAGGAGTGGGGCGCCCGCGCGCCGCGGAGCCCACTTACGTTGCCTAGCAACGGGCTCAACTCTTCCGACGCCGCCTCTTCAGGTAGCTGGGCAGAGATGTACCACCCCGGCTCCGCACTGGTGCTTCTCCACGACGCCTCCATGGAGCTCCTTCGCCGACCACCAGGTCCATCCGCGAACCTGGACTCTGCCCGACGCCCCCGAGGTCAATCGCACCAGAGGCGGAGTTACGGGCCCGACCCTTCCGGGTTTAAGGACGGCGTCAGCGCGATCTGATGACGCGCGCCCTTTTCCGCGGGCAAACAGCGATGGCGTCATCGAGGCCCTACCCACCCGCCTGAAGCCCGGTTCCACGTCGTGCGCGGAGCATGAGGTGAGGGGTCTGGTCACCACACCAGCTTGGAGGCGAGGTGGGCTAGAAAGGCGCGGTCGCAGTGTTCATCATAGCGCCCAGGGGCGGTGCCAGGCCCCTTCCGGCCTTCTCCGCCCCACGCCGCCTGGGCGCGGGAATGCCACGAGGCCACCTCCCGCCGGGGCGCGGAGCTTAGTTGGGTCTCGGGGCCGGGTTCCGAGGACTCGGCTTCCACACTCTCGAGGGCTGGAGTGGGTCCAGCGATAGAACGCTCACCCAGCGCTGGGGTTCCGCGCCCAGCACCCCGGGAGGAGGGGCAGGCAGAGCCAGCCACTCGCTGCGGGGTACAAAGGGCCACCGAGACTCGGGGGACCCGGGAGTCACCCGGCTGACTTATACGCTCGATGCCATTTGAGCCTTCAGAACGAAGGGTGACTGAGTTTCATAGGATTCTGTGGGTGTGCCCTTTCCCCTTTACAATTACTTCAGTGTTTTAGGAGAGAGACCACATCGTCGGTCATGTATTCCAAACGCCAGCTGAGTTACTCTCCTCAGTTGGGAAGCACAAACCACCTACCAATATGCTGCACCAAAAAACAGAAGTACTCAGATCAACCCGAGTTTTAGACCCTTGGGTGAGTTAACCTACTTCTGAGTTCTGTTTACAAAGCTCATTCACAACACAAGGGCACAATATACACACCTCCCAAGATGATACAATAAGCACCCAGAAGAATCCTATCAACGTTGCCACTGGTAATTCCGTACATATAATAATGTTTCATTTAGAAATGACCCTTTAACTCAACCATTTTCCAATCCCAAATGCATTCTGTAGGAATTTGCGGGTGGACAGTTCATTACTAGCCCCAGTGTTCAAGCAGCAAATAGGATAAAAGCACATATCTGTTATCTACTACTAATAAGACATCCTGGAAGATAAGTATTCTTCCATACCATTAAAAGTTCTATTTATCAACTATAACAAGAGATCTGGAGCAACTAGGCTTTTATTTTTCCTTGTGATTCTGCTCATTTGTAGCTTATTTTTTAAACAAATGCTCTTTTGCTTGTTTTTTAAGCATCTTATGTAGGCCATTTGGGTTCTTAAGAAGACTTCTAAAAGTGGAAAGCTGTAATCCAACTGGGGCAGAATCTTTAATTCTACTCTCACCAACAACACTGGCACAGAAGATTAGGGAAGTGCCTGGTATTTTCTTGTTAAGTCAAAGAAAAGGATTCTCAACCATGCCAGAGATAGAAACAAATACAAGAGAGACTGAATTATTTTCACCCCCCTCTGGTGTCAGAGGAATGACAAAACTTGATAGAACAGCCTTTAAAAAAACAGTCACCATTCCAGTGCTTAAAGTGAGGAAAGAAATAGTCAACAGATTGATGCGATCCCTGAAAAGCGCAGTGCTGCAACGCCCGGGCATAAAGCGTGTGATTGAAGATCCAGAAGACGAACAAAGTAGGCTTATTATGTTGGATCCCTATAAAATGTTTACTCATGAGTCCTTTGAGGAATCAGAACTTAGTATTTTAAACCAACTTAATGTCAATCCACAGCTATCTAAATATACTTTGGAATTAACTTATGAAAACTTTAAGTCAGAAGAAATCTTGAGGGCTGTGCTTCCTGAAGGTCAAGATGTGACCTCAGGATTTAGCAGAGTTGGACATATTGCGCACTTGAATCTTCGAGATCATCAGCTACCATTCAAGCATTTAATTGGTAGGTATAATATAATAATTTTCATGTACTAAAAAGCTTTTGACAAATTCCAATCTCAATGTTTAATTGCCAGGTTACAGAAGCTGAATCTTGACGTACATATCCTCATTTGAGGGCCATTTTGGGAACACTCCAGAATCATAGCTTTGGTCCAAGTTATGTCCTTAAAAAAAAAATTTATAATGAGCAAATTCTTTTTTTTGGGGGGTGGGGGCTCCAGTGGTGGGGCTTGAACTCTGGGCCTGGGAGCTGTCCCTCAGCTCTTCAGCTCAAGGCTAGTGCTCTACCACTTGAGCCACTTCTGGCTTTTTCTTTTTGCTTATGTGATGCTAAGGAATCGAACCCAGGGCCTCATGCATGCAAGGCAAGCGCTCTACCACTGAGCCACCTTCCCAGCCCAGCAAATTCTTTTTGATAGATAAGATTAGGCCTTTGGAACTATGTTCAATATTAGGTTTCATAAGTAAGGATGTTTATAGTAAAAAAAAAAATACAATGCTATTTAATTACACTTTCACTCTCAAGCCTCTTGTATATATTGCAGGCTTTTTTTTTTTAGTGTCCATAGGCTTTTAGAAACAGTGTTGTTAATGTCCTACCTCTGTAGTTCCAGGCTTAAAAACCTGAGGCCTCTACTTCTTTGGGATAAGAAAGAAGTAGAAGACTAATCAACATGTAATTATCTGAAAATAATTCGAGGAATTAGAAAATATAGTACTCAGTATTTTGGATGGGTAGGACTTTAACTGTTCTGTTAAAGCATTCCCTGCTAATCTGTAATGGCGACATAATACTTATTGAGACTGAAAGTGTCAGATGCATACCTTCTTGTAGTCTTTCTTTACCTTAAACATTTCTTTGGCATTCCTATTTTTTAACCTCATTCATAAAGGCACAGAGGTTAATTTTAAAGCCTTAACTATAGAATTTCATAATTGCTTTTTTAAGTAAAAACAATTTCATACCTGATTCAAAGCAGGATAAGAGCAATGACTGATTAGGTTATTGATCTTATCATATTCATATCTAATTATCAGAGAAAACTTAGACAAATATGTGTTTCAGCATATTTGGATTATTGTGTACTTTCAACTTTACAAATCATCTTTCCTTATGAAATGAGATAGCAAATAGATTTTTATAAATTTTTGATGTGCTGACAAAAAAAACCTACATTTTTTTGGTCGAAGGGTATCAATATGCCATTTCTGATGTACTTTATTAAATTGTAGCTTTCTGTTAATGATGAATATTTGACAAAAGGAACAATTTATGTCAACATTTTATTTAAACAAGACTCTAAATACTCTTGTATTTCTTCATTGAAAACCTGCTTTGCTGACATACATTCCCAAAGTGGAGGCATTTGTTTCAAACCCGCAGTAAGACAAACATTTGATGGGAGGCTGAGAGGCCAGTAGAGAGGTAGATGTTTCTGTTAGTGTTTTCTGAGACCATTTGTTGCCAGGGTCTCTACATCTCCCTCTTCATTTCATTTTTTTACCTTGTTGCTTGCTGTATAGGTACATTTGAGATTCACTAAAAATGTGGAAAATAATAGTAGGCCAAACACCTCAAATTGTTTTCTTTAAAAATGTACCAAAATTTTTACATGCACTCAGTACAGCTGCAAAAGAAAATACAATTCATTTGTTTGATATTTTCAGTATTAGTTATTTTGCAACCAGAAGGCAGTAATTATTATGAATTTTTATCTTGTAGGCCAAGTTATGATTGACAAAAATCCAGGAATCACCTCAGCAGTAAATAAAATCAATAATATTGATAATACATACCGAAATTTCCAAATGGAAGTGCTATCTGGAGAAGAGAACATGATGACCAAGGTACAGAGTATTTTATTACCTCCTAGTAAGGTGAATGCAAGAAAATCAATGCTTATAATCAGAGTTGATGAAAAATATTAAGAATGTGCATATTAAGAATGAACAATTTATAGGTACTATTGGTGGGATAATACAGTGAAGTCTTTTCAGAATTGTTTAGATTCTGGTTTAATGAGACAACGGAACAGTCCTTCATTAAATATTTTTTAGTACTTCATTAAAGATATTTTGCAAAATAGACTGCGCATTGACAAGTGATGAAAACAAGTTGTAGAACAGTACATATAAAATATTTCTCAAGTATTTAAACCAGGTGAGACTGGGAGAGATTTTTCAACTGAAACTGAAAATTTCCAACTCTGAAACCCTTCATATGGGCAAAAACATCCAATGTGGTTTGAGAGAAAAAAATGTACACAATTAGACTTAAAAGTACAGCAAACAGAAAATAGATGTCTCTTGGATTTATATAATTTAAGAAACCTTCAGGTGTTTTTCTGTCTGCAAAATAAGGGACTTAAGACAATGGCTGAGGTTATGATCCATTTGAGTTTTATTTTCCTAACATGTCTGTGATAGACCCAAAGGAAATGCTACAAAGTCTTAATTCCTTTCTCACCCAAGAATTAGCTTCATTTTATTATTTAGTTTACCAATGAAAATTGAAATTTTGCAAAAGTATCGGAATGATTTATCCTATACACTGGCTTTGATTTATAGACATGAAACTTGCAAAGTAATATCTAATAATATAGTAAAATACCTTAAAATTTAATGAAACAACTATCCTGCCTCTTTCTGAGTATAAATATGGAGAGAAACTAATTTGCTGTGTAGAAGCACTATCTACAACTTAGCAACACATTGTGAAAGTGTGTGCAGTGTATTGTTCAAATTATACGGTTTTTTTCCTTCTCCATCTGGTTCTATAAGAGTATAATTAAGCCAGTCAATTGGCCTTTCTGAAAAATGCCTCATGTGATTTGGAAATGACTTTATAGCCCTTTAGGATTGAAATAGTGAGTGACTGGCTTTGAAGAACTGACTTTTCTCATGAAAATGTCTAATGCAGGATATTAACTGGCCCCAGAAATAGCATAAACACCAGGATTCTAATTAAAATGCCTTTAAATGCACTGTTATTTGCTCTTATAGGAGTAAATTTACGTGTGTGTACACTCGTGTATATACACACACTTTAGCCAGTACCGGTGGGTAGAATTTAGGACCAGCCAGATTAACCAAAATATCTTTTTCAGGTTCGAGAAAATAGCTACACCTATGAATTTGATTTTTCAAAAGTCTACTGGAATCCTCGGCTCTCTACAGAACACAGCCGTATCACAGCACTTCTCAAACCTGGGGATATATTATTTGATGTTTTTGCAGGAGTTGGGCCCTTTGCCATTCCAGCGGCAAAGAAAAACTGCACTGTATTTGCCAATGATCTCAATCCTGAGTCCCATAAGTGGCTGTTGCACAATTGTAAATTAAATAAAGTAGACCAAAAGGTGAAAGTCTTCAACTTGGATGGCAAAGAGTTTCTCCAAGGACCAGTCAGAGAAGAGTTAGTACAGCAGCTGAAACAGTCAAAAGAAAGAAAACACTCTGTCCACATTGTCATGAACTTACCTGCAAAGGCTATAGAATTTCTAAGTGCTTTCAAGTCATTTTTAGATGGGCAGCAGTGCAGCAGTGAGCTCCTTCCCATAGTGCACTGTTACAGCTTTTCCAAGGATGTTAATCCTGCTGAGGATATTCGTCGACGAGCTGGAGCTGTGTTAGGCATCTCTCTAGAAGCATGCAGTTCAGTTCACCTAGTAAGAAATGTGGCCCCCAACAAAGAAATGCTCTGTATCACCTTTCAGATTCCTGCATCTATACTCTACAAGAACCAAACCATAAATCTAGGTGAGCTCCTTATAGAGAATTAAATGTGATTACCATACTTTTAATGTAGCTTTTTTTCAACTCTCATCTACCTACCTGTCTTATTTACATGGATCATGACTACTTGTTATTCAATTTAGACTTGTTTCTCCAAGCTTCAGCATGGTACATGGTTAAAATGATAAATCTGCCAGAATGTTCTTATTTTTATGTCTGAGTTGATTTGATTAAAATTTTTCCATTATTTGTTTCCTAAAACTGAGTTCAACTATTTACTATCTTATCTAATGTAGCCTTCTCAATTTGTTACAGAGAATCAGGAAGAGCCGCATCCTAAACGGCAGAGAACAGATAATGCCTTTTCAGAAGAAGGAACACAAATAGCATGAAAACACTTAATTGGAAATGTTTTCTCCATCTCCCCAGTAGACTTATGTGAAGAAATGTAATTTGTATGGTTTCATAGAATTTTTTTATTATCCCATCTTATCAATTAGCTGCCATAGGTCTACTACTTACTAAATAGAAACCCATTTGTGTTGTATTGTGAGACAGGGTTGTGTAATTACATTTAATTAAATTATATCTAATTTTTATTAGATAAGTGTTTTTAAACATCTGTCTCTTAAGAAGATAGTTTTTAAAGATAAGGTAGTTTCTTGTTGTCTCACCAGGAGAGCATTAATACACAACTATCCTTATGCTACCAGCTGTCACTGTAAAAAAAAAACTTATTTAGGTCAAGGATCGGCAAACTGATCTACAGGGCAAATCTGGGCCACTAATGGTTTGTATGGCCTGTGATCTGAAAATGTTCTTACATTTTCAAATGATTGGAAAAGAATAACATTTTATGAATTGAAAACTGTATGAAACTTGAGGACTTTTTTGAGAAGCATTTATTGTAGTTATAGAACTTGAGAAGCATTTATTGTAGTTATAGAAAAAAAATAACACTTTCAAAATCAAGGTTAAGTTAGCAGTCCTTTTCAGACTCATACCATGATTTCAAGCCATTCTTAAATTATCAAGGAAGAAATAGAATCAAGATGTATGACAAAGAGTCCGAGTGGCGACCGCGAAGAGTCATGACCGGACAAGCATTTAGGAAGTTCATTCTTCTGTTTGACCAAGTGTTGGTTGAAAGGGGTGCAGCTGTAACCAAAGGAGGCATTATGCTTCCAGAAAAGTCTCAAGGAAAAGTATTGCAAGCCACAGTAGTGGCTGTGGGATCGGGCTCTAAAAAAAAGGTGGAGAGATTCAGCCAGTTAGTGTGAAAGTGGGTGATAAAGTTTTTCTCCCAGAATATGGAGGCACCAAAGTAGTTCTAGATGACAAGGATTATTTCTTATTTAGGGATGGTGACATTCTTGGGAAGTATGTAAAGTGAATGCATCACTAAAATGGCATCCTGTGAAGCTGCCCATTCCATGGAAGTTCTGAGATCTTTCATCATGTAAATAATTTCCATATCTCCCTTTTATAATAAACTGATGGTAACTAAAGAAAAAAAAGATGTATGACAAGAGAAATATTAAAGCTACTTATCAGGCCTGGAAATCAGAAAACATAAAGTGAACTTGTGGAGCCATTTTCAACTTCACTATGCATCAGAATCACTGTGACTATAGAGAAGATGCCTGGAGTAACCTAAAGGCAAACCACCAGGTTGAGCCAGCTTGTGGCTTCAGAATTCTAAAGGGATTGACATCATAAACTTTGCTCCTCAGGGAGGTCCAAAGACAAAATACACACGATACCAAAGATCAACCATTTGCTCACTGTGTGACTTCTCTAAGCTTCATATTCAGGAATAACAACTATTTTTAACTGTTGTACAGGTTACTACTATATGACAAGTGCTTCCATAACAGAATTAACACTATTGCTTCATTCTTATTTACCCACCTCCCACTCCCAAAGAGTTATTCTTACTTAAAAGTCAACCAACCCACCTATTGGGCTAGAGCTGGTATTCTTGAGTTTTGGTACACATGAATATATGGAATATATGCCTTGCTAATCTGCTTTCCACATCTATTTTCCACAGCTGCTCTCATAATAAAACAGTACTTGCAACACAGATTAGACCTAGATTCACCTCTCATCTTCAGCTGCTGTCTGGCACACTACAAAATATAGTTACATGAATACAATTCAGCAAAATGCTATGTAAAACCAAGTCACAAATTTTATGTTTTTATTACTAGGTCATACTCATGTCAAGGAAAGAAAACTTTGAAAAAGTTATGCTTTGAAAGCACAGTGGGATGTGAATTCTCGACAGAGTGAAATGATAAAGCATCTATAACTAAGCTAAAGTAATAATAATGGAGTATACAATGATGTTATACGACCAAGCACTAATTATAGTTACTTCAGGTCAGGCAACTATCAGAAAAATTCAAAGGTTTAAATAAAAATATCAAAGCAGAATTTCTTCATAAACTAAAGGATGAAAATGAGTAAGAACCAGAAATAAGTCTTGAGATGACTAATTTTTCAGCCAAGCAAGGGAAGGCATTTATTGAAGAAATAGGTCCAGAGAAGATAAATGTTTATGATGATTGGCCTTTTGGAAACAAAAACAGTCACTCAAAGAGTTAGGAACATTTGGAGAAATAAAAATTTAGATTAATACTTCTGAGTGGTTCTTGATTTTTTCCTGATAGTGCTCAGTTCTTGTTTGTGGTGTTACCATGAAGCTTGAAGTGACTGAGAATTAGCATCTATGAATAGAAAAACTATGAGTATTTTTAAAGGAGTTGAAAAAAATACCCGTTTCACACAACCTCAAGTTGAATTTGCTAAGATACATTAAAACTAATGTTTGTTTTAAAAAATTGTGTAGATCAGAAAAAGACAGTGAGATCAATGTATAAAAGCTGGTGCATATGTAAGGAGTTTATAAAAGCCTACAGCTATTCACTGTATTGTTTACCCTAGGAAATATTTGAATCTAATTTTGTCAGAAATTAAAGCTAAATATCCTGACTTCCTCTGCCAAGGTTTTATTTGCTGAGTTAAGAGTTTGATTGTGATTTTTTTTTAAGCTTGAGAGTTAAGACTTAAGTTTTTCTTAACAAGAACCACCCATAACCATTAAAGTATTCAACTAAGATTATAAGGCAACGTTATTGTGGTAGTGTCATTTAGACAACTGACTTAAATAAAAATATCCTACTACTTTATACATTTCACATGCCATCAAAAATGAAATCAAGGGCTGGGAAGGTGGCTCAGTGGTAGAGCGCTTGCCTTGCATGCATGAGGCCCTGAGTTCGATTCCTCAGCACCACTTAAGCAAAAAAAAAAAAGCTGGAAGTGGCGCTGTGGCTCAAGTGGTAGAGTGCTAGCCTTGAGCTGAAGAGCTGAGGGACAGTGCCCAAGCCCAGAGTTCAGGCCCCACGACCAGACCCCCCCCAAAAAAATGAAATCAAAAAACAAGATTTTGCACATAAATTGGCAGTTGATATTTTCTAAATTCAGTATTCGGGGAGAGGGATCTTGGTGCAAGTTCAAAGAAAACTCAATTTCAAAATACTTAACTACAAATAAGGAGCTTCCAATTTGAATAGAGTTGTGATATTCAAAGTACTTATGTGAAAATGAAACCAAGTAAATTGATGGAATGGGTGAAGTTGGGAGATATGAGGGGAAACTATATGCATAAACCAAAACTTTTTGGAACTACTTAAATAATTAATAATTAATAAAGGGCTTCACCTAATCTTCAATTAGAAGTACTTGGCTATACCTGTCTGGATGTTTTTAAAGCATGTAACATCTCATAAAGAACCATTAACAGGCAGTCATTTACAGTTGATTTTAATGATAGAAGTACTTTCCTACATCTCCAGTTGAAGAAGGAGTGCAATTCCCCCCAAAAAAAATGATTCTCCCAAAAATAAATTATACTTAAAATTGCATATGATTATATTTTGAATTTTTCCATTAAAAAACTGTGGCACTTTGCCAAATGGCTATTGATGCCTGTGAACCCAGCACTTGGGAAACAGACAGGAGGATCACAAGTTCCAGGCCAGCCTGGATTACATACTGAGACCTTGTTTCAAGAACAAAACAACCACCAAAAATTTGTGGCAAATTGTTTTATCTCTTCATATGTTTCTATATAATGTCCTCAATTTGCCACGACTGTAAAGTCTAAAATATTTACTATCTGCTCAAGCAGAAAAGGAACCCTGGCCTAAATCATTATAAACTCATGCATTCAGAAGCATTTCAACAAGATCATTTAGTTGACAACATTCATGTCCCATAAGAGATCTGGATATTGGATCTATAAAACTTTCCCAGAAGTCTCATGAAGTTTGACTACCCAGACCTAGTCTTAGCACATCTGTTGTTTACAAGTTTGACAGTCATCTCTAGAACATGGACTCTAGAACCTCACTACTTGGGTTCAAATTCCACCTCTGCTATTTTTAAGTTGTATGGCTTCTGTCAAGTTCCTTAACCTCTATTTCTCCATCTGTTAAAATGGGACAGATAAGAACAATGTAATACTCAAAAATATGAAGCACACAGTCTTCACAAACAGTTACAGGTAACAAAGGAGTTGTTAACTATTATTTCTGTAAAATGCCTTCCTTGATTCATGGAGATAAAGATTTAGATACTTAGTCTGTGTCTATGAGTGGAAGTCACTAGGAGGGTGAGAGACAAGCCCATCAACTTAGATTATTGTGTTGTTCGTTGTTCTTAGGTCATCTTTCATTAGTTCAACTGATCTAACAGTCAGTTAACAACTTCTCCAATAGACTCAAAGTCTGGAAAGCCTTTGAAATGTTTCATTTATTACTTCATTCCCTTCACATGCATCATTATTTTGCACTTGAGTGCAGCAAAGCCTTAACTTTATGTAATATAAATTTACTGTTCTCACCATTTTTGGAATAGATTTATAAACTGCTTTAAAACACAAAATTTCAATTGGAGAATACCTACTACAAGGAATAGGATATCTAACCCTGGTACAGAATAGCTAAAACTGGATTTGGATTTAAATCAAACTTGTGTTCTAATTCTGGCTTACTAGTTTGTATATATGATCTTGGCCTTTTAATTGTTCAATGCCTTGGTTTTTTCATTCACTTATCAAAGACAGTGTTGCGATACCAAAAGATATAAAATAAGATGGAGTTGTTACATATGGATTTTATACCCTAATGTCACCACTGTTTTGTTTCATATGACCTTCTACCCATAAAACTAACATCTGTTGTGATGGGGATTTGATAGGAAATCCTTTAATTTCCTTAAGAAATTATGTCCCATATCTGGTGGTCTATCTAACAGACTCATACAAGATTGAGATGCTACAAATATCCATACTTTCCACATCCAAACTCTTCAAGCAAAACCCTGGGTATAATAAAAAGCCTTTCAAGTTTCAATGGAAAACTACATCAGAGTCCACAATTGCCCATAGAAAAAAATTGTTTTAAAATGTACCTTTTCAGTCTCCAACATCTAATCATAAAATGAACTCACACTGGAGGTGAAAGGTGCCATTTAAGTATTAAATTTTATTAACTAACTTCTTTGAGTTTGTCATTAGAACAGGTTAGTGCTGTGCTCTGGTTTATCCTCAGTGGCTCACACCTGGGAATCATAACACCTGTGAGGTTTGCTCACTTTTCCACTACAAAAAACAGGCACCACATTCTAATACTGAGGGAGTGAAACTGTCACAGATCAAGTTTTACTTGCCATAGCCTGCTGGGGGAAGGAACATATCCACTTGTCTGGACTAGTATCAAGAAGACATTAGAAAAAATTAAAAAGGAGAAACTTATGAGAAGAAATAACAGACTTACATATTAACACTAAATGCTGTAACCAAAATGGCATTTTAAAATGTGTTCAAGTAACACGCTGTAATAAGAGAAAAACCACAGAAAGTACTATTAAAGTCTAGCTTTATTTTTAAAAAGATTTTATAAGTCTGTCAACCTCAAATATACATAAGTGAATTATTTATTCATCTCTCCCATCATATGAGGCTCTCCCTACTTCAATCCCTCTCATGAAAATATAAGTAAACAAAGCTTTTCATGGAAACGAATCCCCTATATTTCTCAGTTTAGATATGAAATTTTCTCTGTATGAATTCCTTAACAGAGTGGCTCATGGTGGTACTGTTGTGCAGCTGAGTATGGCTATAATTCTACAAGTCTGCTTTTCTAGCCCCTTAGTTGTGCTCCAGGGTCCAAACCTTATAAATGGAGAAATACAGTTTAACTGGGCTGCCAGAAAAGTCCACTGAATGCATCTTGTAGTGCTCTGTGACAAGCAAGAGAAGAAGTATAGCCTCCAGCAAGGTCCTGTGGAGATGCAGCTCTCACATGATTTAGGTACCTAAAACAACAAAAGGTAGCATTGATACAGAAAGTAAGTATAAGCTTGTAACATTTTATAAAGCAAGTATAAAACTGATTCCAACTTTAGAAAGAACTTTAGAAATGTTCCCACTTTTATAAATAGACTACTGCTTTTCAAAAGGAAGCATGCTGACTAAACTATTACTAAATTACAAAGTAAATTATAGTAAGGTCTAAAAGCAAAGTTACAAAACAGTATTTTGAATTAAATATTAAAATGTTCAATTTTCAAATGTTCAAAACAGATTAGTTAGCTGTTGTTTGGACATCCAATACTCTGCTCACATGATTTTACAATGTTACAACACTATTATATTAATATTGTTACAAATGTGGTTTGAAAGAAGCTCAAATGGAGGAGGGGTGAGAAAATACACTTGTTACTTCAAAATTATTTCAATATTTCAAAAAGTATATTGTCTCCTTGTGAGAAAGAAAACTTAGAAAATTATATGTCTAAGGATGGGCACTAGTAGCTCACACTTGTAATCCTGCTGCTCAGGAGGTTGAGAGCTGAGGATTGGGTTCAAAGCCAGCCTGGGCAGAAAAGCCCACGAGAGACTCTTATCAGTTAACCAGTGAAAAGCCATAAGAAGAGATGTAGCTCTAGTGGTAGGGCACTAGCAATGAGGGAAAAAGCTAAGAGGCCCTGAGCTCCAGCACTGGTACTTGTACGCGTACACACACTTGCACGTGAGTGCACTTGTGCTAGAGTGCATGTGCACATGCACACACACACACACACACAGTTATATGCCTAAGAAATCCTGGAGAATGAGTTTGAGTTCAAAATGTTGTCAAATAGTAAGTGCAGAAGAGTCTTTGAATTAATCTCAAAAAGTGTGAAGACACAAATCTTGCCAGTCATACATAGTCTTTTAGCAATTAAAATTTCCTTGTTAAAAATAGACAAAATGAGACTTTTAAGAAAATAGAACAATCATAACTCCAAAAAGCCAATATTTATCATGACTACTAGCAGTGCTAGAAAATAAGTATTTCCATCTTTAATGCCATAGTTTAGGAAACCACATTGTTTCGTTAGGTGTCAGGAAGTAAAGCCGCTTTACCCACTTTAGACTTATGAGTATGGCAAATGAATAAATCAAGTACCAGAACATTTTAATAGCTTGGAACCTTTTCTACTCATTTATTCCAGCTTCCTGTGTGTCAAGAGCTTCATGCATGAACAACTTATTACTTCTAACAAAATAACAAGTCAGCTTTTCATCTGTATCCATTCTGATAAGCTTGTTTGTTTTAAAAATATGTGGCAATGTGTAAGAGACAAAATAGAAAGGCTATCAAAATAAGAAACAGGCTGAGCTCCTCCAATTGGCTATAATTTATTTACATTGCTAATAATCAAAGTATTAACACAATTCTTTCCTTCTAAGCCAAGAATGAAAGAGAAGTGGAAGGAGAAAGGAAGTTAGTATTTACTAAGCAACAATCTAAGGCAATTTTGTTACTATAACCTATACTACCAGCATAAAATATTTGTGCATTCATCCCTAAAATTTGTAGACTTATTTAATCATATACATAGAGTACTATGTACTATATACTATTATAGGTAATACATAATCATATGCATAATATTCTTACATAGTAACAAAAATATATAGATTTTTTTTTCTTTTCTTTTCTTTTTGCCGGTCATGGGGTCTGAACTCTGGGCTTGGGCACTGTCCCTTGGTTCTTCAGCTCAAGGCCAGCACTCTACCACTTGAGCCACACAACTACTTCTGGGTTTTTTTCTGCTTTTCTGGTGCTAAGGAATTGAACCCAGGGCCTCATGCATGCAAAGCAAGCACTCTACCACTCTAGCCCCTATATAGACATTTTAAAGAATAAAAATACTTTACCCTCCCCCACGGTATAACCCCTGCTTTCATTGTATTTGAAGTTGGTATAATTTGTGGGAGGGAAGGGAAAAAAAAGGGATACAGGTGAACCCATTGCAACAATGAGGTGTCTAAGTCGTTATGTCTTACAACTTTGGCCTGGGGGTTGGGGGGAGGATGGGAAGGAATGGGAAAGGGAAACAAACAAAGGAGGAGGCAACAAGCTTGATAAGAAATGTACTCATTACCCTGCCCATTTAATTGTAACCCCTCTGTATTTTCACAATAAAAAAGAAAATACTTTAATAATTAAAAACTCCTAATATTTTCTCCTTACACCCCAATTTACATGTTCTACTAGGATGCATCCCTCTTTGGAAACTACTTTTATTAGTCATTGTCAAACTACTGGTAAAACCTTAATTCCATGTTTCATTTACCAAGCCTATCATATGGCCATAAAGTTATCTGTTTATTACCCCCCAAAATAGAATATAAACTATAATCTTTTTAATATTTTTTGAGGTAAGAAGTTACCTCAGAAAGTAAAAATCAACTTGCACTCACTAGGAACTTATCAACTATAAACAAATAAGTGAGTATATTTTTAAAGGTGGTTTGGAAATCAAAGGTTCTATTCCTGATCTATTTTTTAATTCACATCCTCTATAATGGTGTATCACCCTCTTTTTTTTTAGATCAACCAAAGGAAAGCAGTCTTATCACCAGTAACTGTTCACTCATCACAGCTATAGAAGACAACTATTACAACACAAACCAGTGTATAACTAACTTTTGATTCATCACATTTTCGTACAGTTCATGTCTGGGAAAGTTGAATCATACCAGCTCTGGCTTGGCAATTCCAGCATAAACTTGCAGTGTGCATACAATGTTTTATATGTTATCCTGAGAAACCTGAAACAGCTGCACTGCTGGCAGAAAAACATAGGACCACCAGTAAAATATCCCAAACAGTTGCATCTTTTAATTTATGACTGTGCACTGTTTCTATAAAGAGTATATAAAACAGTTCAGTTTTTATAGGTAAAATGTAATAAACAGTCATACTCACTGAGCCTATAAATGTATTTTTAAAAGTTTATCTAAAATGATTAATTAGTGCTTAAAAATAGTATTTCTTGAACATAGTCATAATCCCGAGCAATGAACAAATATTTTAAGTTTGAGTTATTAGTGCTGTTGTATGATTCTCACTGCCAAAATAAGTCAATTAAAATTTCTATGCATAGCATTGACGAGAACGTGCTTCCATTCTAGTAACGATTTACATGAGACATGTCTGCTGAGTATGATTCTTTAAGAGTCTTGCCTATTTATATTGCTGTTTTTGATCTCTAGTGCTACACAAAACAGTTACTGTTAAGTACTTCAAAATATTTCACCACAGAAACCTAGATTAATTCCAGTGGATTTTTTTTAAAGTTCATTCTTGTTACTCAACTTTGGGTTTTCATTTTCTAAATCTTTTAACTATTATGATATGCAAAAGTATTTTAAGGATCTGCTACACTGAAACTACATGATCACAATTTAGTGTTTTGCCTCCAATTTTCACTTTTTTTTTTGGGGGGGGGTGTCGGTCGTGGGGCCTGAACTCTGGGCCTGGGCGCTGTCCCTCAGCTCTTCAGCTCAAGGTGAGCGCTCTACCACTTGAGCCACAGTGCCACTTCTGGTTTTCTAATGGTTTATTGGAGATAAGAGTCTCACAGACTTTCCTGCCCGGGCTGGCTTTGAACCTCGGTCCTCAGATCTCAACCTCCTGAGTAGCTAGGATTACAGGCATGAGCCACCAGCGCCTGGCCAATTTTTTTTTTCTTACAGTCCTGGGGTTTGAACTCAGGGCCTGCCCCTGAACTTCTTTTGCTCAAAGCTAGCACTCTAACACTTGAGCCACTTCTGGCTTTTGCTGTGTCTCCGGTACCGAGGAATTGAACCCAGGGCCTCATGCATGCTAGGCAATCGCTCTACCACTGAGCCACATGCCCAGCCCCAATTTTCACCTTAATGCGATATTTTAAAAGTACCTCAAAAGTACATCAAAAACTAGGATTCACAGGGTTTGGGGCAGAGGTTATCATCATTTCTTGTATACAGGTATACAATTTTGAAGAAGACACTTTTTTTGAGGGGGGGCAGTCCTGGGCACTGTCCCTGAACTGCTTTTACTCAAGGCGAGCACTCTACCACTGGAGCCACAGTGCCACTTCTGGCCTTTTCTGTGTATGTGGAACTGAGGAATCAAACACAGGGCTTCATGCATGTTAGGCAAGCACTCTATCACATTCCCAGCCCCTGAAAAGGAAGACTTAAGACAAATTTATTCCCAAAAGTCAAGCCGAGTTGGGTTCTGGAGTCTGGAGGTAATTGCCCCAACTATTTAGCCAATGCCAGGACACTATTTCTGCTTTTCATTGGTTTGTTTTAAATACGTCTAAATCTTATAAGCAGAAAGCAGGAAAGCAGGGAGAAAAAAAGATTTGCTTATGTTGGTACCTTTACCTTTATTTATACTAAAGGCAGACTAAACTGAGATTTTTTTAATCATACTTTTATTTTCTTATTATTGCTTTATGTGTTCAAAAACATGTCTAAGGTAATTCTTGTACAAAGAGTATTTATTTTATGCCCTGACTGATGTTTCATCTAGGTTCCTTTCTTCAGCACGACCTATCAAAATCCATTCCAAACAGGCTTTGGAAAAGTTGTGAAAAGTAGCAATGGCTCCTGAGAGGAAAGTAAGAAGGAAATGTTAGAACTCCATTCTTTTTCATTTTCATTTTTTCTGTTTCATTTAGCAGCTTCCACTCCCAAATAAGAAAGCATAATTTATACTTATTTAGCTGCAAAAAGAAGTCCCTTGTTAAAGGAGATCACTCTTCTGAGATCATGCTTGTACTATTTTCCTTCTTTAAAGCCATGCTTTTGATCATCTGGCTGACACCTTGTGCCATTCCACCATGCTTCAAGTTCTCAGTGAGGGTCAGAGAGCAGAGGTTTTCACTCAAGACCAAGGAGCAGCACTCTTTCCCTCCAGTTATAACCTATTTGTAACAACCTTTGATACATGCTAGCACCAAACAATGTAGAATTCTTGGAATCTGAGTTG